GTTACAGACCACTGAATCTATTACACTGAACACCTTGTTCTCCACACCTACACAGTTACAGACCACTGAATCTATTACACTGAACACCTTGTTCTCCACACATACACAGTTAATGTTACAGACCACTGAATCTATTACACTGAACACTTTGTTCTCCACACCTACACAGTTAATGTTACAGACCACTGAATCTATTACACTGAACACTTTGTTCTCCACACCTACACAGTTAATGTTACAGACCACTGAATCTATTACACTGAACACCTTGTTCTCCACACCTACACAGTTAATGTTACAGACCACTGAATCTATTACACTGAACACCTTGTTCTCCACACCTACACAGTTACAGACCACTGAATCTATTACACTGAACACCTTGTTCTCCACACATACACAGTTAATGTTACAGACCACTGAATCTATTACACTGAACACCTTGTTCTCCACACCTACACAGTTAATGTTACAGACCACTGAATCTATTACACTGAACACCTTGTTCTCCACACATACACAGTTAATGTTACAGACCACTGAATCTATTACACTGAACACCTTGTTCTCCACACCTACACAGTTAATGTTACAGACCACTGAATCTATTACACTGAACACCTTGTTCTCCACACATACACAGTTAATGTTACAGACCACTGAATCTATTACACTGAACACCTTGTTCTCCACACATACACAGTTAATGTTACAGACCACTGAATCTATTACACTGAACACCTTGTTCTCCACACCTACACAGTTACAGACCACTGAATCTATTACACTGAACACCTTGTTCTCCACACATACACAGTTAATGTTACAGACCACTGAATCTATTACACTGAACACCTTGTTCTCCACACATACACAGTTAATGTTACAGACCACTGAATCTATTACACTGAACACCTTGTTCTCCACACCTACACAGTTACAGACCACTGAATCTATTACACTGAATACCTTGTTCTCCACACCTACACAGTTACAGACCACTGAATCTATTACACTGAACACCTTGTTCTCCACACCTACAAAGTTAATGTTACAGACCACTGAATCTATTACACTGAACACCTTGTTCTCCACACCTACACAGTTACAGACCACTGAATCTATTACACTGAATACCTTGTTCTCCACACCTACACAGTTACAGACCACTGAATCTATTACACTGAACACTTTGTTCTCCACACCTACACAGTTAATGTTACAGACCACTGAATCTATTACACTGAACACCTTGTTCTCCACACATACACAGTTAATGTTACAGACCACTGAATCTATTACACTGAACACCTTGTTCTCCACACATACACAGTTAATGTTACAGACCACTGAATCTATTACACTGAACACCTTGTTCTCCACACCTACACAGTTAATGTTACAGACCACTGAATCTATTACACTGAACACCTTGTTCTCCACACATACACAGTTAATGTTACAGACCACTGAATCTATTACACTGAACACCTTGTTCTCCACACCTACACAGTTAATGTTACAGACCACTGAATCTATTACACTGAACACCTTGTTCTCCACACCTACACAGTTAATGTTACAGACCACTGAATCTATTACACTGAACACCTTGTTCTCCACACCTACACAGTTAATGTTACAGACCACTGAATCTATTACACTGAACACCTTGTTCTCCACACCTACACAGTTACAGACCACTGAATCTATTACACTGAACACCTTGTTCTCCACACCTACACAGTTAATGTTACAGACCACTGAATCTATTACACTGAACACCTTGTTCTCCACACCTACAAAGTTAATGTTACAGACCACTGAATCTATTACACTGAACACCTTGTTCTCCACACCTACACAGTTACAGACCACTGAATCTATTACACTGAATACCTTGTTCTCCACACCTACACAGTTACAGACCACTGAATCTATTACACTGAACACCTTGTTCTCCACACCTACACAGTTAATGTTACAGACCACTGAATCTATTACACTGAACACTTTGTTCTCCACACCTACACAGTTAATGTTACAGACCACTGAATCTATTGCACTGAACACCTTGTTCTCCACACCTACACAGTTAATGTTACAGACCACTGAATCTATTACACTGAACACTTTGTTCTCCACACCTACACAGTTAATGTTACAGACCACTGAATCTATTACACTGAACACCTTGTTCTCCACACCTACACAGTTAATGTTACAGACCACTGAATCTATTACACTGAACACCTTGTTCTCCACACCTACACAGTTAATGTTACAGACCACTGAATCTATTACACTGAACACCTTGTTCTCCACACATACACAGTTACAGACCACTGAATCTATTACACTGAACACCTTGTTCTCCACACATACACAGTTACAGACCACTGAATCTATTACACTGAACACCTTGTTCTCCACACCTACACAGTTAATGTTACAGACCACTGAATCTATTACACTGAACACCTTGTTCTCCACACCTACACAGTTACAGACCACTGAATCTATTACACTGAACACCTTGTTCTCCACACATACACAGTTAATGTTACAGACCACTGAATCTATTACACTGAACACCTTGTTCTCCACACCTACACAGTTACAGACCACTGAATCTATTACACTGAACACCTTGTTCTCCACACCTACACAGTTAATGCTGCACCACTGAATCTATTACACTGAACACCTTGTTCTCCACACCTACACAGTTAATGTTACAGACCACTGAATCTATTACACTGAACACCTTGTTCTCCACACCTACACAGTTAATGCTGCACCACTGAATCTATTACACTGAACACCTTGTTCTCCACACCTACACAGTTAATGCTGCACCACTGAATCTATTACACTGAACACCTTGTTCTCCACACCTACACAGTTAATGTTACAGACCACTGAATCTATTACACTGAACACCTTGTTCTCCACACCTACACAGTTAATGCTGCACCACTGAATCTATTACACTGAACACCTTGTTCTCCACACCTACACAGTTAATGCTGCACCACTGAATCTATTACACTGAACACCTTGTTCTCCACACCTACACAGTTAATGCTGCACCACTGAATCTATTACACTGAACACCTTGTTCTCCACACCTACACAGTTAATACTACAGACAACTATTTTATACGTCCTATACTTATTTCTTGTTTGAAAGTGAAATGAAATTAAAAGTTTTTAGTTACACTCTCTGGATCCCATGTGTTTATATAGGTGAGAGATTGTGGACACTTCTGGGCACAGTATTCAGAGAGAGACAACTGTGATGCAATAGTGGGCATCCACATGTGTCTTAACCAGGGCACATGTCTTATGGTGAGTGTTTTTAGCAGGTGTCCACACCTGTCTTAACCAGGGCACATGCCTTATGGTGAGTGTTTTTAGCAGGTGTCCACACCTGTCTTAACCAGGGCACATGCCTTATGGTGAGTGTTTTTAGCAGGTGTCCACACTTGTCTTAACCAGGGCACATGCCTTATGGTGAGTGTTTTTAGCAGGTGTCCACACTTGTCTTAACCAGGGCACATGCCTTATGGTGAGAGTTTTTAGCAGGTGTCCACACTTGTCTTAACCAGGGCACATGCCTTATGGTGAGTGTTTTTAGCAGGTGTCCACACTTGTCTTAACCAGGGCACATGCCTTATGGTGAGTGTTTTTAGCAGGTGTCCACACTTGTCTTAACCAGGGCACATGCCTTATGGTGAGTGTTTTTAGCAGGTGTCCACACTTGTCTTAACCAGGGCACATGCCTTATGGTGAGTGTTTTTAGCAGGTGTCCACACTTGTCTTAACCAGGGCACATGCCTTATGGTGAGTGTTTTTAGCAGGTGTCCACACTTGTCTTAACCAGGGCACATGCCTTATGGTGAGTGTTTTTAGCAGGTGTCCACACTTGTCTTAACCAGGGCACATGCCTTATGGTGAGTGTTTTTAGCAGGTGTCCACACTTGTCTTAACCAGGGCACATGCCTTATGGTGAGTGTTTTTAGCAGGTGTCCACACCTGTCTTAACCAGGGCACATGCCTTATGGTGAGTGTTTTTAGCAGGTGTCCACACCTGTCTTAACCAGGGCACATGCCTTATGGTGAGTGTTTTTAGCAGGTGTCCACACTTGTCTTAACCAGGGCACATGCCTTATGGTGAGTGTTTTTAGCAGGTGTCCACACTTGTCTTAACCAGGGCACATGCCTTATGGTGAGTGTTTTTAGCAGGTGTCCACACTTGTCTTAACCAGGGCACATGCCTTATGGTGAGTGTTTTTAGCAGGTGTCCACACCTGTCTTAACCAGGGCACATGCCTTATGGTGAGTGTTTTTAGCAGGTGTCCACACTTGTCTTAACCAGGGCACATGCCTTATGGTGAGTGTTTTTAGCAGGTGTCCACACCTGTCTTAACCAGGGCACATGCCTTATGGTGAGTGTTTTTAGCAGGTGTCCACACTTGTCTTAACCAGGGCACATGCCTTATGGTGAGTGTTTTTAGCAGGTGTCCACACTTGTCTTAACCAGGGCACATGCCTTATGGTGAGTGTTTTTAGCAGGTGTCCACACTTGTCTTAACCAGGGCACATGCCTTATGGTGAGTGTTTTTAGCAGGTGTCCACACTTAACCAGGGCACATGCCTTATGGTGAGTGTTTTTAGCAGGTGTCCACACTTAACCAGGGCACATGCCTTATGGTGAGTGTTTTTAGCAGGTGTCCACACTTAACCAGGGCACATGCCTTATGGTGAGTGTTTTTAGCAGGTGTCCACACTTAACCAGGGCACATGCCTTATGGTGAGTGTTTTTAGCAGGTGTCCACACTTAACCAGGGCACATGCCTTATGGTGAGTGTTTTTAGCAGGTGTCCACACTTAACCAGGGTATATAATCATTGTAAGTGTTAGTAGATGATTTAAGATATGTATACTGGGAAGATAAGGTGGTGAGGTAGGGATGATCAGTCACTCGAAAGGACAATATGGAGGTTTGTGAATGGGAGACTCCCACCTATATTGAATTGGGATTTGATGGAGGAATAAGGAGGGGATGGGGGTGTAGGGGTTGAGAGTTGACAAGGGGAAAACACTGAAGATATATAGAAGGAAGGGATACTTAGGCAGGTTTGACAAGAGGTGGTGGGATGGGAGTGTGAAGATATATAGAAGGACGGGATACTTAGGCAGGTTTGACAAGAGGTGGTGGGATGGGAGTGTGAAGATATATAGAAGGACGGGATACTTAGGCAGGTTTGACAAGAGGTGGTGGGATGGGAGTGTGGAGATATATAGAAGGACGGGATACTTAGGCAGGTTTGACAAGAGGTGGTGGGATGAGAGTGGGGTTGGGGGGATGGAGGGAATCATTCACTAGAGATTGACAGTGGAAAACACTAAGAGTAGCTTCACAGGTGTAAGGATTCTGAGGTAATTTTTTACTGTATATTAAGGGATAGGGACCTTGGGGTGGTCAGTCTCTGGTGCTTTAACACCAGGAAAACATGGAGGGTAGGTATGTGGATGACAGGGGCTATCATTTAGGTTTGATTTTGGTATACTTTACATTGTTACAAATGTTGATGACTGTTTCAGCCTTTAGTGGGATGCATTACTGTGGGGAAGATGTGTGCTGCACCGTTTGAGGATGAGACAAGAGAATACTACAGGGCAAGAGTAGACAACATCATTCGAACACAACTGCCTCATACTAAACAATTCAGGGAGTCCTTAGAGGTAAACCTACTTCTGAGACACTGCACGACTTTACACTGATTCAGTTTCATATGTTTTCATTATTTTAAATGTAGATGACATTAAAATTAAAGTTTTATGTGTTTATTTTAAGAGTGTGCAATGTATGCATGATGCATGTAGAAATTTGAAATGTTTATACACAGTTGCCTCCATGACAGGTTTTCTTTGTGGATTACGGTAACACAGCTGTGGTTGCCCGAGAAGATGTCCGAGAACTGCCCGACTCTGTCTCCACGGTGCCCTTCCAAGTAAGTGTTGTAGATTCAAAGCCCATAGTTTATCCTGCAGTTAATAACATATGTTATCAGTGGAATCAGATGTTCATCAACCAATCAACATCATGATGTTAGAGGTTTTACTTAAAGTGAAAAGTTTGATTATTGAAATATTTTCTAAATGACTCACAGGTCTCGGTTTGGGGGACCAGGACATTTAAATGTATTTTTCTGTTTTATTTCTATCCAACTCTGAATAATCAAAGTCAAGTCAGCACACTTAATAAGGATTACCTATTTCATTTGTTTCAATCATACAGGCTGTGGAGTGCTTTCTAAGTGGGATACGGCCATCCGTCATCAAGTGTCCAGATGGACGATGGACAGAACAGGCCCACAACACTTTCATTAGTATGGTGATGAACAAGGATCTGTTCGGAAAGGTGAGGGCATTGGTCTGTGTGCAAAAGTGAGGGCACTGATCTGTGTGCAAAAGTGAGGACACTGATTTGAGTGTAAAGGTGAGGGAACTGGTCTGTATGGCAAGATTAGGGCATTGATCTGTTTGCAAAGGTGAGGACATAGTCTGAGTGGAAAGACAGCTTATTTTGTGAAAAGGTGAGACAACTAATGGTGGGTCTTGGGTGAGATAAGTAATAGTGGGTCTTGGGTGAGATAAGAGATGGTGGGTCTTGGGTGAGATAAGTGATGACAGGTCTTGGGTGATGGTGGGTCTTGGGTGAGATAAGTGATGGTGGGTCTTGGGTGAGATAAGTGATGGTGGGTCTTGGGTGAGATAAGTGATGGTGGGTCTTGGGTGAGATAAGTGATGGTGGGTCTTGGATGAGATAAGTGATGGTGGGTCTTGGGTGAGATAAGTGATGGTGGGTCTTGGGTGAGATAAGTGATGGTGGGTCTTGGGTGAGATAAGTGATGGTGGGTCTTGGGTGAGATAAGTGATGGTGGGTCTTGGGTGAGATAAGTGATGGTGGGTCTTGGATGAGATAAGTGATGTTGGGTCTTGGGTGAGATAAGTGATGGTGGGTCTTGGGTGAGATAAGTGATGGTGGGTCTTGGGTGAGATAAGTGATGGTGGGTCTTGGATGAGATAAGTGATGTTGGGTCTTGGATGAGATAAGTGATGGTGGGTCTTGGGTGAGATAAGTGATGACAGGTCTTGGGTGAGATAAGTGATGGTGGGTCTTGGGTGAGATAAGTGATGGTGGGTCTTGGGTGAGATAAGTGATGGTGGGTCTTGGGTGAGATAAGTGATGGTGGGTCTTGGGAGATGAGATAAGTGATGGTGGGTCTTGGGTGAGATAAGTGATGACAGGTCTTGGGTGAGATAAGTGATGGTGGGTCTTGGATGAGATAAGTGATGGTGGGTCTTGGGTGAGATAAGTGATGACAGGTCTTGGGTGAGATAAGTGATGGTGGGTCTTGGCCTATAATTCTATGTGAAGTAAACTTATATAGTTTACTGCAGAGAAGTGATTGAATGTTTAGTGCGATTATTTATGTTAGGTTGGTTGATGTTATGTAAACATGTTTGGATATGAGTGTTTTGAATGTTTACCTGGACAGATTCTAAACGATCTTATTCTGGCAGATATACTCAGTGGTCAGAGGAGTGCTTCGTCTGGAGCTGATAGAGGTGTTGAGAAACGGTCGCCAGATTTGTTTCAACCATGAACTCATTGCCTTGGAGTTTGCTGACACTGCTGAAGAAAGCTTTTTGTCCAAGGTACAAACAGACTCTTTTGTACTTATAGCCTGTCATCTATACCACAGTTATTAATGATATATTATACATGTGTGTAGTGAACTAAAGAGGAATGGGAGGAGGATAGATCTGATAGTTAACCTATCAAATATTTGTCGGTGGATAGACAAAGATAAACCACTTAACACAGGCAACCAAAATTTAACTAAGATCAAATCATTTGTAAAGACAAATGTTAAGATTGTGGTTTATACTTTACCAAGCAAAACCATGAGCAGCGTGCGATGGAGGAGTCTACAGGGCAGCTAGGTCAAACAGGACAACAAAGGAAAAACATCAGTCAACAGACGAGCTGGCTTAACCTCTCACTCAAACCAAGTATGACCTTCAGGGAAGATCGCAGAGGAGGCAAGGTAAGTCTTTCAAATATGTACAACTTATCCTATGACTCTAACCAAGTATAATGTTTGGGGAGAATTCTTAAAGCAACAAGGTAAGTCTGCTGGAGTCCTTCGTACTTCTGTCATATTGTCTTGTAAAGTTACTCAAAATACTTCGCATATTGTCACCAGTATAATAGGAGAATACTTAACATATTGTCACCAGTATAATAGGAGAATACATCACATATTGTCACCAGTATAATAGGAGAATACTTAACATATTGTCACCAGTATAATAGAATACTTAACATATTGTAACTGGTAAAATAGAAAAATACTTCACATATTGTAACTGGTAAAATAGAAAAATACTTCACATATTCTAACTGGTAAAATAGAAAAATAGTTCACATATTCTAACTGGTAAAATAGAAAAATACTTCACATATTGTAACTGGTAAAATAGAAAAATAGTTCACATATTGTAACTGGTAAAATAGAAAAATACTTCACATATTGTAACTGGTAAAATAGAAAAATAGTTCACATATTGTAACTGGTAAAATAGAAAAATACTTCACATATTGTAACTGGTAAAATAGAAAAATACTTCACATATTGTAACTGGTAAAATAGAAAAATACTTCACATATTGTAACTGGTAAAATAGAAAAATAGTTCACATATTGTAACTGGTAAAATAGAAAAATACTTCACATATTCTAACTGGTAAAATAGAAAAATACTTCACATATTGTAACTGGTAAAATAGAAAAATACTTCACATATTCTAACTGGTAAAATAGAAAAATACTTCACATATTGTAACTGGTAAAATAGAAAAATACTTCACATATTCTAACTGGTAAAATAGAAAAATACTTCACATATTGTAACTGGTAAAATAGAAAAATACTTCACATATTGTAACTGGTAAAATAGAAAAATACTTCACATATTCTAACTGGTAAAATAGAAAAATAGTTCACATATTGTAACTGGTAAAAAAGAAGAAACAAAAAGTGTAATGATTTACATGAAATGCCGTACCATTATTTTTGTCGTCCAACAGATGAATCTAAGAGGTCCTCACAATCCGTACGAGATGAGCTTCATCAGTATGACCAATGTAGGATCCTGTCGGTAGGTATCATTCACCGGGTTATCACCCACAATTTAACAGGAAATCTGTCCTAGATCAACAATACAACACATGAAATCTGTCCTAGATCAACAATACACACAGGAAATCTGTCCTAGATCAACAATACAACACAGGAAATCTGTCCTAGATCAACAATACAACACATGAAATCTGTCCTAGATCAACAATACACACAGGAAATCTGTCCTAGATCAACAATACACACAGGAAATCTGTCCTAGATCAACAATACAACACAGGAAATCTGTCCTAGATCAACAATACAACACTGGAATCCTTATTGTTGGGCAAGCTTCCCTGCTAATTAGTTGTTTATCCATTGTCTACCAGATAGACATGTCTGGTGTTAGGACCAGAGGAGGCTCTGTCTACCTGATAGACATGTCTGGTGTTAGGACCAGAGGAGGCTCTGTCTACCTGATAGACATGTCTGGTGTTAGGACCAGAGGAGGCTCTGTCTACCTGATAGACATGTCTGGTGTTAGGACCTGAGGAGGCTCTGTCTACCTGATAGACATGTCTGGTGTTAGGACCAGTGGAGGCCCTGTCTAATTGTTGACCAATATAGTTGATACAGAAGTGCTGGTGTTGATAGATTATGTTAATGATAAGAGACAATAAGATAATTCAAAAAGAGATCCATCTATATCAATGGTATTTTAATTTTGAAGGTGTGCCAAGATTGAACCAGGTAGCATTAACTGTGTTTCCATCGACGATGAACCTCATGACCCTCACTCGAGACTGATGATTGCAGCATTTGTTGGACTTAACCCAGGGGGATCCACCATGTTGGCGCGGGACACCACGGTGATGCCACTGATACCAGGACTACCCACTTTGATTTCTTTGCTGTTTGCACCTATCGCGGAATTCAGGTAAATTTCCAGCACAGAATTAATGTTGTTAATCACATCTAAAATATCTAGAGAAAAATTCTTCAAATATGAGAAAGGTTTGTCGATAATTTTTCACAAACAAGATCCATCTCTATAGCTGTGATATCAGACCAAGGCAGGATTAAGAAGGTTTGAAGGCTTCATGAAAAAAAAATCATGCTATTTTCAATAATCAATCTACTATTTATTAGGTCATCTTGACCCTGTTTAGATGACAGATAGCCATTGAGTTTCGTCTGTTGTTGTGCACCATCCTTTTTGAAACCCTACTCCTCTTTCATACTTGGATGGATTTCAACCAGATTTGGTCAGATGCATCATTGGGTTTAGGTAATCATTTCTGTAATTCAGAATTTTGATTTGACCCTTAGAGGTCAAGGGATAGGACCCCAAAGGAGGAGGTGCTGAAATTAGATTTAAAACCCTACTCCTCCTTTCTGCCTAGGTGGATTTCAACAAAATTTGGCCTGATTCATCGGTTAGAGTAGGCAATTGTTTTTTAAATTCAGAAATTTGATTTGACCCCTTCAGATTTTGGGGGTGGGGGGTAGAGCCCCAAAATGGGAAGTTAGACAAGATTTTGCTGCAAAGTGCTACTCTTTCTTAATGCTTGAATGGATTTCAACCAAATTTTGTCTAAAACATCACTGAGAGTGGGGAATCATTTCTTAAATTCAGAAAGTTAATTCCACCCCTAGTTAATAGGAATGAACTTGATCCACTTGAAAGGTCACAGGGATCAAGTATGTTAAAATCTTTAAATGACTTATTCTCAATAACCAAAATGCCAAGGATGATGATATTAGGCCTGTAGCATGCTACATGGATGAAGGGCTACCTACTTTCTGAATATGAATGACATTGACCCTCTCTCAAGGTCACAGGTACCAGATGTGTTAAAATATGTAAGTGACTTCTTCTCAATAACTAAATGGCCCAGGGTGCTGATATTGGACCAACTTTCAAAGTCACAGGAGTTACATGTGTTGAATTACTTAAGCAACTTCTTCTAGATAAATAAAAAAGGCCAGGGGTCTTGATATTTGGCCTGTAGCTTTTTTTTCAACATGCAATATCTCCGGAGTAATGGCAATTATGTAGTGCATGTCTTGATGAACCAACAATGTCTTCTGCAAAAGCTGTAGAGCAATTTATTTATAGTCCATATTATATTTATTTATAGGCCTGTTTGTTATCAAAAGTCCTTTTCAACTTTATTATTAAAAACTACGAATAGAAAATTTAAGTGTTTCCAGAAATTCAGTGCGACCCTTGAAAATTCAGCGAGTACAGGTTTCAGGACTCACCAGTAGATCTATCTCTGTATCATCAGTGTTAGAGAAGAACCACCTTTAAGTGTTCTTTCCACATTTCATTTCTTTATCATTTCTTGTTCATTACATCAATTGCAAGCATGAGTAACAAGTATATATGATTTTACTTTGTCATGATGGTGTACAGGACAGATCCAGAACTGACCAGTCTGACCGGTGCTATTTGTGGACTTGGACCGGCCCAGAATATGGAATATTCCTGTTTCCCTGACCATGACCTTGAGGTCATCTTTGATACTAAGATTGACATGGAAGATATTTACAAGGTAATGATGAACCAGGTTGCAGCCTGGAAGAACAGTTACTTCATTGTTGGTCAAAATATTTCACCATTATCAACTTGCAAGTTGGGATGAAAGGTTAAGTTTTCAATCCATATGAATTATCTAAACCAAATTCAGTGTCTGCATGTGTCCATTCATCTAATCCTTTGTCAAACATACATGATGTAATTGTAGTGAGGACAAGAGTTACTTTGATTTCACCCACAGAAGTGGGATACTTGAGGAGATACAGGCTCTCTTGTTGGCTTTATTAAACACCTCTTTCCCAATAACTATTATAACTGTCTCCTCCCCAGATGTCATTTTCACCTCAGGCCAAAAGGTAGATATGACTCTTCAAGGTCTGTATCACCTTCACCTTGGGCATTCAGGTAGTTTGAACTAAATAAGGTCTGTCTCATCTTCACCTCTGACCTACAGATAGTTTTGACTATGTACATTCTGTCATGCCTTCATCTCAGGCCTACAGGTAGTTTCTGATGTAGTCCATGAAGATTTCTTTTGACATGGTCCTCATCTTCCTAACAGAGTATTTTTATCAAGTTCAGGTAGATTAGGAGTCATTGTATCTTCCCACTACATTGATTGTATGGATATTTTCAGATCAATGGTGTACGAATGGCCATCAACCTTGCTGTCGGCAGTCAGGAGAAGGTGATGGGCTGGGGCCCTGATGCTGTCTACAAGATACAGGACTCAGCTCGCACTAAACTTATGGAGTATGTTTTGTCAAGGCCCCAAGTCTGGTCGACATACTCATTATAAAGTCTGGAACTAAGTCTTGCCAAACGAAGATCAATCAATCAGTCTTATCTGATCACACTAAAATCAGGGAGTAACTTTTGTCTGGTCACACTAAAGTCAGGCAGTAACTTTTGTCTGGTCACACTAAAATCAGGTAGTAACTTTTGTCTGGTCACACTAAAATCAGGTAGTAACTTTTGTCTGGTCACACTAAAGTCAGGTAGTAACTTTTGTCTGGTCACACTAAAGTCAGGTAGTAACTTTTGTCTGGTCACACTAAAATCAGGTAGTAACTTTTGTGTGGTCACATTAAATCAGGTGGTAACTTTTGTCTGGTCACACTAAAGTCAGGTGGTAACTTTTGTCTGGTCACACTAAAGTCAGGTAGTAACTTTTGTCTGGTCACACTAAAGTCAGGCAGTAACTTTTGTCTGGTCACACTAAAGTCAGGCAGTAACTTTTGTCTGGTCACACTAAAGTCAGGTAGTAACTTTTGTCTGGTCACACTAAAGTCAGGTAGTAACTTTTGTCTGGTCACACTAAAATCAGGTAGTAACTTTTGTCTGGTCACACTAAAGTCAGGTAGTAACTTTTGTCTGGTCACACTAAAATCAGGGAGTAACTTTTGTCTGGTCACACTAAAATCTTGTAGTAACTTTTGTCTGGTCACACTAAAATCAGGTAGTAACTTTTGTCTGGTCACACTAAAATCTTGTAGTAACTTTTGTCTGGTCACACTAAAATCAGGCAGTAACTTTTGTCTGGTCACACTAAAATCAGGTAGTAACTTTTGTCTGGTCACACTAAAATCAGGCAGTAACTTTTGTCTGGTCACACTAAAATCAGGCAGTAACTTTTGTCTGGTCACACTAAAGTCAGGTAGTAACTTTTGTCTGGTCACACTAAAATCAGGCAGTAACTTTTGTCTGGTCACACTAAAATCTTGTAGTAACTTTTGTCTGGTCACACTAAAGTCAGGTAGTAACTTTTGTCTGGTCACACTAAAATCTTGTAGTAACTTTTGTCTGGTCACACTAAAATCAGGCAGTAACTTTTGTCTGGTCACAATAAAATAGGTAGTAACTTTAGTGTGATACAAATCTGAAAATCTTGTGAGGGAGTATGTCTTGTTAAAGTGTGATACAAATCTGTGAGGGAGTATGTCTTGTTAAAGTGTGATACAAATCTGTGAGGGAGTATGTCTTGTTAAAGTGTGATACAAATCTGTGAGGGAGTATGTCTTGTTAAAGTGTGATACAAATCTGAATATCTTGTTAGGGAGTGTGCCTTGTTCAAGTTTGGTACAAATCGACTTTCACCAGGAAAGTTTCAGGTTAAGTGTTTGTTGTTACAGGGTTCTACAGAAGAGAAGAGAGAGTATCCAGATGAGGAATGCTGAGAGACCATACAAATGGAACCAGGTACTCTTTAGTATATTATTAGCTCACCTGGCCCGAAGGCGTCCACCGTCACCCTTTTTCCATCAAATAATTTCTTCTCAATAACCAAAGGGTCAAATGTTTTGACATTTGGCTGGTATGTTCCTAGGATGAAGCATGAGAAAGTTTGTGAAAAGAAGTTACCTTGACTTATATTTAAGGTCACAGGGATCAAATTTAAACATTTAGGAAATGAATTGAATAATTGTCAAGGTCACATTGGTCAAATTTGTTAAAACCTTTAAACAACTTCTCCTCTGAAACTAAAAGGCCTAGAGGCATGATATATGGCTGGTATATATGTAACAGGTGAGTGATGCAGGCCCATTAGGCCTCTTGTGTACTTTTTTCATGCTAAACTTTTCATATGGAAAAAAATTCACAGGAAATTGTCAATGCTTTGTGTCCTATACTCTACTGGAAACAAGCCATAGGGATGTTTTTAAGATTTCCATTTTATATTAAACTGGAAACAAGCAGTGAGAATGTCTCCATAATTTCCATCTTTTATTCTACTGGAAACACACAGGAAATATGGAAAGTGGTGTAAAACATGCTAACAGGATTCTTTTGATGAAAATTTCTGAAACATTTGATAAATAAGTTAGTTTGAAGGAAATTGATATGCTGACAAATGATAATCTTTATGTATTTAAGGACACAGACTGTCCCATTTTATATTGAATAAAACATGAAATCTTGTTTCAGCTGAACCCCGACGACATCCTACACCATAGACTGGAGAACACAGATGCAGACAATCCAGTGTTACTTAACCTCCACTCGGCTGTAGCCTTGGTAGATGACGAGGTGAACGAGCTGAGTCTGGACACAACTGACCAGCACAAAGAATATCTCAAGCAGCATGTTAAATTTCTCAAAATGGCTGCCAAGAAGTAAGTTGGCAAAATGACTTGATATTGTAGTGTGTATCAACATTTTCTTTGAGGCAATACTTACTCCTGAATGCCTTATTTAGACGACATTTTGTCTAAAGAATGATAAGGTTGATGTTATGAAATTTTGTTTTTGACTACAGTGGAGGATGATAAATATTTAGAAGTAGTGGAGGGAAATGGAAAAACATGAGCCAATCAGATGACATTTTGTACGTGGCCTGTCATTCATAAACGATTCTTGTTATCACTACTCCACATTCCATTGGATCTTCTACATCCTGTCATTACATGTATGTGTCCCACGGTCGCTAGCTGGTCCTAACATTTTTCATATTTATTTAATTTTAAAGATTGCTACAAGTGGCCATTTTGAGTTTCGGCAGGAAAAGTTTGTTATCGGTACTTCTCCTAAAACTATCAGGTTTGATACTGTAGATGTGTGTTTCCCTTGGTCCCCAAGCTAGTGCTTAGTGATATTCAACATGACCTAATATTTATTCTGAACTACAGTTCGACCTCTGCCCGTGTTCATAGAAAACCTTGTTCTTGTCATATCTCCTATCCTGTTTCATATTGGTTCACCAAACTTCCTCCATAGGAACATTTTAGGCACATAGCAAGGTCACTGTGAACTATTACATGACCTTTGACCTTGTTCAAACATTTTCTCAACATGTCTCTACCACTATTTCGGGCAGGAATATTAGTTTTGATGTAGAGGGACAACTTAGGCAACTTGGATCATAATAAGGTCACTATGCACATTTTAGAACCAGATTGTCAGGTGACCCATACAGTACTAAAGCTTTGAGATTTCATGTTAGCTCACCTGGCCTGAAGGGTCAAGTGAGTTTATGCCACGGTGCATCGTCTGTCATCTGGCATCCGGCATCAACTTTTTTCTTTAAAACAACTTCTCAATAACCAATGGACCAAAAGTGAGCGATGCATGCCCATTGGGCTTCTTGTATACAAGTTCACCAAATTCCATCTGGAGGCCAAGTCAAGAACAAAAGGCATTGAATAAAGAGACTTAAATTTGTTGGTCAAATGCATTCTTCGATGAAGGGAATCCAAGTTTGTTTGTAAAAAAAAATGAGAAAGTGGGGGGTATAAGAAATAAATAAATGTTCATCATTATATAAGATTGCAAGAGCAGATGCCATATTGGGAAGTTGTGTGTGATATTGTTGTAGTCATGATGGCTGAAATAACCAGTTGAGTGATATCCTAAAACTCCTAAGTAACAAATTTCACCTCTGTTTTCAGTTTATACCGACGTGACCCTATAACATGTGAGCTGTGTAATGTGACAGCAAACACTCCTCAGCTCCTGGCATCTCATCTTGACATGCGAAGACACAGAGAGAGAGAGGAAGCTCTGCAGGAGGAAGGATAAGTGAAGGAAGATGATGATGTGTTCTATCAGTGATATACAGTGCTAAAACTATCAAGTGTGGTCCCAACAACACAAAAATGGATTGATCAATCTAAACACAAATTTTAGTGGGACTGGAAGCTATACAACAATGGCAGATTGATGACCACAAGTCTGGTTTACTGAAATCCTTGTGGACTGACAGCTAGACAACAATGGCAGACCACAAGTCTGGTTTACTGAAATCCTTGTGGACTGACAGCTAGACAACAATGGCAGACCACAAGTCTGGTTTACTGAAATCCTTGTGGACTGACAGCTAGACAACAATGGCAGACCACAAGTCTGGTTTACTGAAATCCTTGTGGACTGACAGCTAGACAACAATGGCAGACCACAAATCTGGTTTACTGAAATCCTTGTGGACTGACAGCTAGACAACAATGGCAGACCACAAGTCTGGTTTACTGAAATCCTTGTGGACTGACAGCTAGACAAAAATGGCTGATTGATGAAATCCTTGTGGACTTACAGCTAGACAACAATGACAGACCACAAATCTGGTTTACTGAAATCCTTGTGGACTGACAGCTAGACAAAAATGGCTGATTGATGAAATCCTTGTGGACTTACAGCTAGACAACAATGACAGACCACAAATCTGGTTTCCTGAAATCCTAGTGGACTGACAGCTAGACAAAAATGGCTGATTGATGAAATCCTTGTGGACTTACAGCTAGACAACAATGACAGACCACAATTCTGGTTTCCTGAAATCCTAGTGGACTGACAGCTAGACAAAAATGGCTGATTGATGAAATCCTTGTGGACTTACAGCTAGACAACAATGACAGACCACAAATCTGGTTTCCTGAAATCCTTGTGGACTGACAGCTAGACAAAAATGGCTGATTGATGAAATCCTTGTGGACTTACAGCTAGACAACAATGACAGACCACAAATCTGGTTTCCTGAAATCCTAGTGGACTGACAGGTAGACAGCTATGGCAGATTGGACATCATAAACCAAAATTCTGGTTAACTTGAAACTTGGTGGACAGTAAACTAGACAACATCATTGTTTGAACAGTGACTGCTCAGGATGGATTATATTTGTAAGATGCTGATTTGTATAGGTTGGACCAGGATGTATCTGGCAAAAGTGTTGGACAGCTCTAGTCATCTCTCTTTGTCAATCTTCTACACAACTTGTGCCTCGACAAAAAGTGTGCCATCATTTTTCTGCAGTCAATCTTCCTGCTGATAGACTTTTTATACTAATAACAAAATTAACATTTTTCATCAGTATTTACCATTGTCACTATGGTAGGAGAACAATAGGGTAGCTAAATCTGTTTTCATGTTGTTGAAGTGACCTATTGTCATGGTTACTTCGATAGACGGGTCCAAGATGTAGAGTGCCAAGAAGGATCAACAATTTTATATTTATACCTGTATGTAAGCTGTATGTGATGAGGATGTTGGCGTGTGAAACAATGAAAATTGAGACAGTTATAGATTTACATACTAATGTTTCTCATTAAACGTTAATCGTCATTTAAACATTGAAATGTGATTGCTGTTACTGTTTTTATACTCTCCGTATAGTACTACAGATTCAGTTTCATAAAGATCCAAAGATAAGTCAGACAATGAAAATCAGTGTTTCCCAACTTCTCAATGTATCTCATTCAAATACTCAGGGCTACTAGCTTGCTATTCCAAGCCACAGTATTTAGCCGTTCGCTTCACTTAGAAGGCTCTAGGACAAATGATTGTGGCATTGTTTGATATAGAGCACTCCATGTCCTAGGCCAATAACATATATAACTAGTAAGACTTTAAATGTGTTTTTCATGCAGCTTATTTTTCCTAGAATTAACTCAGTTATTGATTTCTTCATGTACATGATGGCGTACTGAGCCAATTTATCTTCCTATATAAACCTGCTTTTTGTAATTGAACTTGAAATTGATGTGATAATTATATCTTAAATGTTTAATGCAAGTCGGTGGAGAAGATAGAAATAGACAAATGAAAGTAAGTTTAATGGATGTAAATGAGGTTTGCATGGCTGTGGACTGAGAAAAACAAGGTTTGTTTGGTGTAAATGAGGGTTTCATGGCTGTGGACTGAGAAAAACAAGGTTTGTTTGGTGTAAATGAGGTTTTCAAGGCTGTGGACTGAGAAAAACAAGGTTTGTTTGGTGTAAATGAGGGTTTCATGGCTGTGGACTGAGAAAAACAAGGTTTGTTTGGTGTAAATGAGGTTTTCAAGGCTGTGGACTGAGAAAAACAAGGTTTGTTTGGTGTAAATGAGGGTTTCATGGCTGTGGACTGAGAAAAACAAGGTTTGTTTGGTGTAAATGAGGGTTTCATGGCTGTGGACTGAGAAAAACAGGGTTTGTTTGGTGTAAATGAGGGTTTCATGGCTGTGGACTGAGAAAAACAGGGTTTGTTTGGTGTAAATGAGGGTTTCATGGCTGTGGACTGGCTGTGGAGAAAAACAAGGTTTGTTTGGTGTAAATGAGGGTTTCAAGGCTGTGGAGTTTGCTGGCTGTGGACTGAGAAAAACAAGGTTTGTTTGGTGTAAATGAGGGTTTCATGGCTGTGGACTGAGAAAAACAAGGTTTGTTTGGTGTAAATGAGGGTTTCATGGCTGTGGACTGAGAAAAACAAGGTTTGTTTGGTGTAAATGAGGGTTTCATGGCTGTGTGGACTTCAAGGCTGTGGACTGAAAAACAGGGTTTGTTTGGTGTAAATGAGGGTTTCATGGCTGTGGACTGAGAAAAACAGGGTTTGTTTAGTGTAAATGAGGGTTTCATGGCTGTGGACTGAGAAAAACAGGGTTTGTTTGGTGTAAATGAGGTTTTCATGGCTGTGGACTGAGAAAAACAAGGTTTGTTTAGTGTAAATGAGGTTTTCAAGGCTGTGGACTGAGAAAAACAAGGTTTGTTTGGTGTAAATGAGGGTTTCATGGCTGTGGACTGAGAAAAACAGGGTTTGTTTGGTGTAAATGAGGGTTTCATGGCTGTGGACTGAGAAAAACAGGGTTTGTTTGGTGTAAATGAGGGTTTCATGGCTGTTTTTGTTTGGTGTAAATGAGGGTTTCATGGCTGTGGACTGAGAAAAACAAGGTTTGTTTGGTGTAAATGAGGGTTTCATGGCTGTGGACTGAGAAAAACAGGGTTTGTTTGGTGTAAATGAGGGTTTCATGGCTGTGGACTGAGAAAAACAGGGTTTGTTTGGTGTAAATGAGGGTTTCATGGCTGTGGACTGAGAAAAACAGGGTTTGTTTGGTGTAAATGAGGGTTTCATGGCTGTGGACTGAGAAAAACAGGGTTTGTTTGGTGTAAATGAGGGTTTCATGGCTGTGGACTGAGAAAAACAAGGTTTGTTTGGTGTAAATGAGGGTTTCAAGGCTGTGGACTGAGAAAAACAGGGTTTGTTTGGTGTAAATGAGGGTTTCATGGCTGTGGACTGAGAAAAACAAGGTTTGTTTGGTGTAAATGAGGGTTTCAAGGCTGTGGACTGAGAAAAACAAGGTTTGTTTGGTGTAAATGAGGGTTTCATGGCTGTGGACTGAGAAAACCAAGGTTTGTTTAGTGTAAATGAGGGTTTCATGGCTGTGGACTGAGAAAAACAGGGTTTGTTTGGTGTAAATGAGGGTTTCATGGCTGTGGACTGAGAAAAACAAGGTTTGTTTGGTGTAAATGAGGGTTTCATGGCTGTGGACTGAGAAAAACAGGGTTTGTTTGGTGTAAATGAGGGTTTCATGGCTGTGGACTGAGAAAAACAGGGTTTGTTTGGTGTAAATGAGGGTTTCATGGCTGTGGACTGAGAAAAACAGGGTTTGTTTGGTGTAAATGAGGGTTTCATGGCTGTGGACTGAGAAAAACAGGGTTTGTTTGGTGTAAATGAGGGTTTCATGGCTGTGGACTGAGAAAAACAGGGTTTGTTTGGTGTAAATGAGGGTTTCATGGCTGTGGACTGAGAAAAACAGGGTTTGTTTGGTGTAAATGAGGGTTTCAAGGCTGTGGACTGAGAAAAACAAGGTTTGTTTGGTGTAAATGAGGGTTTCAAGGCTGTGGACTGAGAAAAACAAGGTTTGGTGTAAATGAGGGTTTCAAGTTTGTTTGGTGTAAATGAGGGTTTCAAGGCTGTGGACTGAGAAAAACAGGGTTTGTTTGGTGTAAATGAGGGTTTCAAGGCTGTGGACTGAGAAAAACAGGGTTTGTTTGGTGTAAATGAGGGTTTCAAGGCTGTGGACTGAGAAAAACAAGGGTTTGTTTGGTGTAAATGAGGGTTTCAAGGCTGTGTTTGAAATGAGGGTTTCATGGCTGTGGAGAAAAACAGGGTTTGTTTGGTGTAAATGAGGGTTTCAAGGCTGTGGACTGAGAAAAACAAGGTTTGTTTGGTGTAAATGAGGGTTTCATGGCTGTGGACTGAGAAAAACAAGGTTTGTTTGGTGTAAATGAGGGTTTCATGGCTGTGGACTGAGAAAAACAGGGTTTGTTTGGTGTAAATGAGGGTTTCAAGGCTGTGGACTGAGAAAAACAAGGTTTGTTTGGTGTAAATGAGGGTTTCAAGGCTGTGGACTGAGAAAAACAGGGTTTGTTTGGTGTAAATGAGGGTTTCAAGGCTGTGGACTGAGAAAAACAAGGTTTGTTTGGTGTAAATGAGGGTTTCATGGCTGTGGACTGAGAAAAACAGGGTTTGTTTGGTGTAAATGAGGGTTTCATGGCTGTGGACTGAGAAAAACAGGGTTTGTTTGGTGTAAATGAGGGTTTCAACTGGCTGTGGACTGAGAAAAACAGGGTTTGTTTGGTGTAAATGAGGGTTTCATGGCTGTGGACTGAGAAAAACAAGGTTTGTTTGGTGTAAATGAGGGTTTCAAGGCTGTGGACTGAGAAAAACAAGGTTTGTTTGGTGTAAATGAGGGTTTCAAGGCTGTGGACTGAGAAAAACAGGGTTTGTTTGGTGTAAATGAGGGTTTCAAGGCTGTGGACTGAGAAAAACAGGGTTTGTTTGGTGTAAATGAGGGTTTCATGGCTGTGGACTGAGATTGTTTGTGTAAATGAGGGTGGCTGTGGACTGAGGTTTGGTGTAAATGTTTCAAGGCTGTGGACTGAGAAAAACAAGGTTTGTTTGGTGTAAATGAGGGTTTCAAGGCTGTGGACTGAGAAAAACAAGGTTTGTTTGGTGTAAATGAGGGTTTCAAGGCTGTGGACTGAGAAAAACAAGGTTTGTTTGGTGTAAATGAGGGTTTCAAGGCTGTGGACTGAGAAAAACAGGGTTTGTTTGGTGTAAATGAGGGTTTCAAGGCTGTGGACTGAGAAAAACAAGGTTTGTTTGGTGTAAATGAGGGTTTCAAGGCTGTGGACTGAGAAAAACAAGGTTTGTTTGGTATAAATGAGGGTTTCATGGCTGTGGACTGAGAAAAACAAGGTTTGTTTGGTGTAAATGAGGTTTTCATGGCTGTGGACTGAGAAAAACAAGGTTTGTTTGGTGTAAATGAGGGTTTCATGGCTGTGGACTGAGAAAAACAAGGTTTGTTTAGTGTAAATGAGGTTTTCATGGCTGTGGACTGAGAAAAACAAGATTTGTTTGGTGTAAATGAGGTTTTCATGGCTGTGGACTGAGAAAAACAAGGTTTGTTTGGTGTAAATGAGGGTTTCATGGCTGTGGACTGAGAAAAACAAGGTTTGTTTGGTGTAAATGAGGGTTTCATGGCTGTGGACTGAGAAAAACAGGGTTTGTTTGGTGTAAATGAGGGTTTCATGGCTGTGGACTGAGAAAAACAGGGTTTGGTTTGTTTGGTGTGGACTAAATGAGAGGTTTCATGGCTGTGGACTGAGAAAAACAAGGTTTGTTTGGTGTAAATGAGGGTTTCATGGCTGTGGACTGAGAAAAACAAGGTTTGTTTGGTGTAAATGAGGGTTTCATGGCTGTGGACTGAGAAAAACAAGGTTTGTTTGGTGTAAATGAGGGTTTCATGGCTGTGGACTGAGAAAAACAAGGTTTGTTTGGTGTAAATGAGGGTTTCAAGGCTGTGGATTGAAAAAAACAGGGTTTGTTTGGTGTAAATGAGGGTTTCATGGCTGTGGACTGAGAAAAACAAGGTTTGTTTGGTGTAAATGAGGTTTTCATGGCTGTGGACTGAGAAAAACAGGGTTTGTTTAGTGTAAATGAGGGTTTCATGGCTGTGGACTGAGAAAAACAGGGTTTGTTTGGTGTAAATGAGGGTTTCATGGCTGTGGACTGTCAAAAGAAAGGTTTCCTGATAGATAGAATGAGAGTTTCACAATTGCAGAGCAGTGACAGCATGATTAGTGGTGGTGTGGATTTAGTGAGATATCTGCCTACTTCAGACAGACTGATGTACATCTGGGTACTTCAGACGGACTGATGTACATCCGGGTACTTCAGACAGACTGAGGTATATCTGTGTACTTCAGACAGGATGTGGTATATATGTGTACTTCAGATAGGATGTGGTATATCTGTGTACTGCAGAAAGGATGTGGTATATCTGTGTACTGCAGATAGGATGTGGTATATCTGTGTACTGCAGATAGGATGTGGTATATCTGTGTACTGCAGATAGGATGTGGTATATCTGTGTACTGCAGATAGGACGTGGTATATCTGTGTACTGCAGATAGGATGTGGTATATCTGTGTACTGCAGATAAAGTGTCATATATTGTTTGATTCAGTTTCTTTAATGAACCTGAAGTAAGGTGCAATTTTCATACATAGTTTGTTTTTCTTTATTTTTCCTTTCACTTATAGTCATTTGTTTATTACTCCTCATCATGTATGTGATATTGCTTTGTTATAAAAAATCAAAAATTTAAATTGTTCTGTTGTGGATTTATTTTTTATCACCTCAAAGTTTCTAATACCCTTTATCTAGTGTCATGCATCAGTAAATAATTTGATACATTTGACTTCTTTTAAAAAAACACTGATCCAATTTCAATGAAAAGATCAACCAAAATTGTAAATTATACAGTCCCCCCAGCCCCTATCCCCTAGGGGCCTGAGGGATGGGACTAAAAGGAGTCAAATTGACTCAGAATTCAAATATCTTCCTCTCAAGACCCAGATATGGTATAATCAAATGCTCTTCTTGAATGGAAGCATCTTAAGGTGCTTTACCAAAATTGTGAATTTCATTGCCCCAGGGTCTCACATTTCCCACAGGAAATAACTTTATACGAATTATCAGTATAGGATGGCAGTTTTGATGGAATGCATGTATTGACACTGTCTATATTCAGTATCACAATTTATGATTCATGACACTATCCTTTAATCCTTATATTCAATATTGCTTATCTCAGGTGAGCGTCAAGGCTGCAATGCCTCTTGGTTTTTTGGAGGTTTTTTGGGGGTTTTTTTGGGGGGGAAGGACATGTTCCTTGGATGAAGCCTAACAAAGTTTGCAAAACAAAATGGCCTTGGCACATATCCAAAGTAACAGGGGCCAGATTGATTAAAACGTTTTGACAACTTCTTCTCATGCACTAAAAGGCTTAGAGGCCTGACATTTGGCTGGCATGTTGCTAGGATGAAGCCCAGCAAAATTCCGAAAAGAAGTGACCTTGATTGATATTCAAGGTCATAGGGGCCAAATTTGTTAAAACCTTTTAACTGTTCTTTTCATCGGTCATCGTGGGTGGTATGCTGAGTATGCCTTCCGCTGAACTTTCCATTCAACTGATTTCTTCTCAATAACCGAAAGGCCCATAGTGCTGATTGAAGGCCTGTAGTATGCTTGGATGAAGGACTACAAAGTCTTAAAGAATTAATGACTTTGACCCACTTTCAAGGTCACAGGAGCCAAATGTGTTGAAATCATTAAACAACTTCTCAATAACCAATAAGCCAGGGGTTTTGATATCAGGCCTGAAGTAAGCTGGCTGGCAGAATGGATGACCTTGACCCACTTTCATGGTCAAAGGAATCAAATATAGTAAATCTTTAGACGACTTTTGCTCAATAATCCAAAGGCTCGGGGTGCTGATGTTGGGCTTGTAGCATCCTTGGATGATGGGCAAACAAGTTTAAAATGAATGACCTGTCAAAATGTCAAAATCTTTAAACTAAACAACTTATCAATGACCAAAAGGTCAAAGGTTCTTTAATGTAAGTGAGTGAATGGCTACCAATTTGTTATATTCAAAATTTCTTGGGTTAAGTGAGTTGATATCTTAAAATTTCTTCTTCAACAAGCAGTAGGTTCCAAAGTAATGGCATTTGTGAAGTAGCAAGTATAAAGAATATGATTTTTAGAAAATTTAGTTGAGCAATTTATTTTAGGCCAATTTGGCTTCTTTTCTATATAGGTCTTTATAGTCAGATGACCGTTAAGACCCGTGGGCCTCTTGTTTCATTATCTCTCGATCAGAGACCAACAGGGATATTGTTGTCACTTCCTGTGTCCATTGGTCCATTTCTCTACATTTCTGATCAATTCCAATCACATTTCCTGACAGAAAGGTTTGAGACAACTTCTCAGTCTATATGTGAAAGGCCAGTTAATTCATTGTCTTAGATGTCAAAGGTCACCTACCATTTAGCATAAAAAGATGACTGATATCCATACAATTTCTCCCGTTTTGTTTGGCTAATTCATCTCGCACTTTATCAGTTGCTGTCTCACATAATGTACATGATTGGATCTTTTTTTTTCATGTCCAGAGGTCGAATTTCAAGGTCATTGTTACTATGGATAGAAAATTTGTTTCTCCAAAATTTCACGTTCTGCAGTATTGATGCATCCCCGACTTCATGCATTGAAGTCAAATCAGAATTTACTCCACTGATCGGTAATTCTCAGTCAAAGGTCAAAGTTAAACTTTATCTTTTCAATGTTTTATGTCGTTAAAACCTAATCAAATTAAAACAAAATTGTGAAGTCAGACTTCAGAGAAGTATAGTTTTACGCCTCCTAATTAGCTAGTATTTTGTTAAAATATTATGTTTACTGTAGATCAGAATTGTGGGAGTTCAAGGCTACAATCGGACGTGAAATTAATATCTTTAATAAGTTCATTAAATTTCATTTCCGTTGACACATCACAGCACAAATTTTAGTCTAGTGGTATAGACTTATAAATGAATATTACAGTAGTCAACATGTACAGGATCATGCTATCATTGTTTATAGACACACTTTATTGTTGGGGAATGTCACCACTAGTTTTCAATATAGCTCGGTTTCAAATGAAAAATATTAATTTTTTTCAGTTTGAATATTTGCCTATGCAGCTGTTTGCCCTCATTGGCCTATGAGTTTCTTAGCTCCCATGGACTCAATCTGGTATTCTCAACATTAACAATTCTACATGTCCACATCCTATCTGAAGTACACATATATACCTCAGTCTCTCTGAAGTACACATATATACCACATCCTATCTGAAGTACACAGATATACCTCAGTCTCTCTGAAGTACACATATATACCACATCCTATCTGAAGTACACGTATATACCTCAGTCTGTCTGAAGTACACATATATACTGCAGTCTGTCTGAAGTACACAGATATACCTCAGTCTGTCTGAAGTACACAGATATACCACATCCTATCTGAAGTACACAGATATACCTCAGTCTGTCTGAAGTACACATATATACCACAGTCTGTCTGAAGTACACATATATACCACATCCTATCTTAAGTACACATATATACCTCAGTCTGTCTGAAGTACACATATATACCACATCCTATCTGAAGTACACATATATACTGCAGTCTGTCTGAAGTACACAGATATACCACATCCTATCTGAAGTACACAGATATACCACATCCTATCTAAAGTACACGTATATACATCAGTCTGTCTGAAGCACATATATACCTCAGTCTGTCTGTAGTACACATATATACTGCAGTCTGTCTGAAGTACACAGATATACCACATCCTATCTGAAGTACACATATATACCACATCCTATCTGAAGTACACAGATATACCACATCCTATTTGAAGTATACCTCAGTCCGTCTGAAG